GTCCACAAAAACTCTTCCCCAACCGAAGCTGTTTTGATATTCTAATACTACGAGAAGTTTGCTATTAAACGATATTAAGCTTGCTTGCAAAACAGTTCACTTTTGGAACAAATTTTTCAATTGAAAAAAACGGCCATTACTTATTAGCCAACCCAATACATTATTTACAGAGGTGCAACTTGTCACTTGCAGTTCTTAACTCCTAGGTGAAAAAGCGCGCTACTATGTAGAAGACAGGTCTATACTATACTTTGCTGGGGATGAAGGGCAGGCAGTATTCGATAGTCTTTTCAGCTCGTTTCAGCAACTGGTAGAGTAAGCGTTTGGCACCGCGCCAAACTCACCTCAACTGACACACCCTCATCCGCGGCGAACTAGACTACATAAAATGTGAGGATTTTGTCAGAATGCTAAGAATACAACCTAGAGCAGCAGTTAATAAAGCTTTATACTTCAATCTGATTAGATTGGAAATAACAAACATAACACATTCACTACTGAGCAAATATAAATAATGGGAAATCGAGACAAATTCACAAACTTTAGAGCGGAGCATTAGAGCTAAACCAGTATTTCAATAGACAATGATCAACAACTATGGAATCGATATATAGATCTTTTAAAAACCAGTAAAGCGTACGACAAGAAAAGTGAGAGTACGAATGGCATGATGCATCCTCATCACAGATGAATTCCTAGTATAAATAAAGTAATAAATGCATAGAACTTTCAATGTATTGGAGCCGTTCTGGCTGCTGGACGAGTGATTCCCGGAGGATGATCACGTTCGTGCTCTAATCGAATGTGAGCCACCAACGGCTCCATGTCCAAAAACTTCCTTCCACACAGCTTGCATGTGAAATCTGTTCGCTCGTCCTTCCTGAAACAGCAGCATCCCAAAGAAGCAAAGATTCTTCCCTTATCTTCTTTGGTTCACAAGGCTAATTTTCTTCTTGTTTTGAAATAAGTTCGGAGGTTTGGCTTTTTTGCCTTATGGAACACATTACTCGAACTGCCGCGCCCACTAACGCGCGAGGCACCGCACGCGACGGCGCGACAAATTACAATTGTTCTGACCGTACCCCACCTCTGCTGTCAATACCCTGGATTGAGCATCTAATGTGAAACTTTTACCTTCGACGAGCACTACCACCCATTACCCTAGGCCCCATCTAAATCAAAAGTTTATACAGGCTGAAAAAGACGGAGTGCTTGAGATATACTCCAGTTCGCTGCAGATGAAGGGGCGTGTCAGACAGTATGAGTGTGACACGGCGCCAAAAACTGTCTCTCTGCCAGTTTCTGGAACGGGTATGCGACAACGTTGGTAAAAAATGAGTGATACGAGCGATATGATACAGTCATATCACTTGCTCGCTTCAACAACTGGTGGAGAACGGGTTTGGCACCGCGCCAAACTCATCGCGCCTGACACGCCCCTTTGTCCGCAGCGAAAAAGACTATACGACAACCTCCTTGCTTTTCGATTGGACGCTTACAAGCATTGGTATGTCGAATTAACACGTCAAGGCAAATGTTGCAGTCGCGAGAGCGCTCGTAGACTGGGTGGAAAGAAAATTATTTAAAAATATGAAACAACCAAGTATTTCTGAAAAAATCTTACTATCGATCTTAGAATAAACAAAAAGGTGAGAATTTTTCAAATAAAGTACACCATATACAATTTATTAAACAACCTTTGTATTGGAACAGCAGCCGTAGGCATCATCGAGTGATCGATGGCGTCGTGCACTGCGGTTGGTAGAGGAAGTGTCAGCTAAAATCGAAAGAGTGGCAATGAAAATAATTCCATGGCACCTGCTCGGAACATACTCGGTACATGGAAGATCATTCCCAAATCCGCCTAGTTTTGCAAGAGATGAGAAATAGAGTGACAAACCTGAGCCGTTTCGTGATCTTCAGACAAAAAGTGTGCATCACTAGCTTCTTTGGTGTGCAAATCCACCTCACAGACATCACATCTTAAGAAATTTTTCAACGAAGTCCAAAAAAATTGCAAGAAAATGAAAGACTCAAAGCGCAACAACTCGCTGACCTCCTCACAAACTCCACTGCCTGTGACGGCTCGAGGAGCTCTACCACACTTGGGCAAGAGGGGTCAGCCGGACGAGCTCTCATTACCACTGAAATTGGCAAAATTCGAGGAAGTCAAAACCGGGTAATACCTTTTCGCATTCCAGGATACTTGTTCTTACTGTTTTCACTCAATAAGAAAAATAGGTGCTCAAGGATCCCCGTAGGCGCTGGTCCTTGCCATGGATGAGGTGAATGGGTCCGCCCTGAATATGCTCTGAACCTCTGCACCCTCTGTTTCTCGCACACCTGCTGCACGAGCAATCGAGCCCAACACGGCAATCGCGGCTAGTTCTCTGCGCCTGCATGTTCCTGATAGTTTTCCTACTCTGAAACGATATTTTTGGCATCTCTCGGCATGCGCCACGCTGTCCTGTAAGGCGATGCATCTAAGGATACAGGGGGGGGGATCGGAAGACGGCTCGAGTTCCACCTGCCTTCCATTCGCGATCCTACAACTTGATCGGAGAAAGCGGCACGCTACTGCAGCTGTGAGCCCGTTCACTTCAAACATGGCGATGAACCGTCCTCGTGAGTGAGTATACAGTTTGTCTGAGCCGCTTTTGCAAGAAACTGAACCAGACAGTTCTTGCATGAAGATCAAGCAGCAATTGGTTTGAGAATTGTTCACTTGTGCCGGGGTTTTTTTTTTAGAAGATTGTGGTAGACTCTTTTACTTAGTCAAAAGAGAAACATCAAGGCTAGGTGTACTAGCAATGTACTCAGCGAATCTGGTCATGCCATTCTGTGTCATATTGGGATCTTGTACAACAACTCACCGGAATCACAACTTTGCAACGCCTTGACTGCACCAGCGCAAGAGATACTGAGTATTCGAGAGTCACTGAGTGTCAGCAAAATTGAAGAGTTCTTCGATGCAGAATCCAACAGAAGACTCGCCGTAAGGCTTACAGAGTAGTCACCTGAATTGAGTCAGGTATCTAACGAGCACTCAGTTTCATTAACAAAAACTCTACGCGTTCTTCCGTGTATCTTAGTCCAAGTGTGAGGTGAATGGGCCTGCTGTAGTGCTCCTGATTTTTCGCTTCAAAGGCGCACGGGAAGGCTGGAGCGTAGTATAAGGTGCCGTTTCTACATTCCACCCGCGCTGCCGCAGGATCAACCGCACGCCTACCCATTGCTGGGGGCCACTTGCCTGCGCTGCACACCATCACTTCTGGTAACCAGGTTACCACTAAGTCCAAGTCTCGTTACGGGTGCACTTTGAGTGGAGGAATGGTCATGCTACTGCGACCAAGCACGTCTGCGTATGGAGATATTTTTGGAAAATAGCTCTCTTACCTTCCTGATACGATCCCACACCCCCTTCTCATCCTACGTACGATTTTGCTGAAAATTTTCCCAACTTGTTTTATGGAATTTCTGGAAAAGTTTTAGTTACCAGCGAGGAGGCGGGAGTCTAGCACGTGAAATGAAACCGAAAAATTCAAGAGCGGGAATTTTCCCCGCTGCAAATGTTCTGTAGCAATAACCCATCTCCTCTATAGCATCCATGGAAACAATGAGAAATACTAATCAAAAAAATTCCTGGACAATTACATCGCCCGGATTCCCAATACGACGTGGTCCGTTGCGGACCCATTCACCTCGCACATGTAAAGGACCATCCTCGGAGGTGAGCGTACGATTGTTTTTTAGTGGACTAAACATTTCCTAGAACTCACCTTAGATCTTATGGATTTCGGCTTCGATTTAGAAAACGTCACCGTGTATTCATTATGAGATATACGTCTCGCAGTGATGAAGAACTCCACCTCCGATTGCGGCACAGCTGCGTCTTTCGCCTAAAAACAACGGAAAATGCGGGTTCGCATTGAATAAGCTAACCCGTGAGCATATAAAGAAAGAAAGATTAAAGGTGAAGAACAAGTAAAGAAGAAATAATGAATCCTTTCTGTAAAGGCGTTGAAAATTACTGAAGTGACTTCAACGGACTCACGGCTAGTACAATAAAGTTGCAAAATTCTTACGAAAAAAAAATTTTTACCAAGGGCCCAAACGCGGATCCAGCGGATATTTTAATCGGTTCGGCTGGAAGGGTGGTGAATTGTGCTGCTGTTTCAATGAATTGTTTCATCTGGAAAATGTCGTTCGCATTAAACAGTAGTGAATACTATGAAACACGAAAAAGACCCTGTGCATACTCACCGGGACTGCTGGAATCTGTTTCACAGGCAAGAGAGTTTTACTAGCAGGAGGTCCAGTCAAAGGGGCCGTTACTCCAGTACCTGTCGTGGGCAATGCTCCTTGCTGAAAGGAAAACTGCAGCTTTGACGGGTCACCAAACCAGAAAGGAAGATCTAGAATGAAATTTCTCTTTTAGCAACCTCGGCACGCTTCAGATCTCGAGCTCGCCTCCGTTTCGATGCGCTACAGTACCCACAAGGAGAGCTCTTGCAAATATGGCTACCAGGTGCTCCATGCCATGTAATTTCATGCTGTCTTCGACTCGCACTTGTACTAAAAAATCATCCAATGGTTTTGTTCAAGAAAGCAGATCCTAGTCAAAGGAATTTTAGGCGCAGTTAGGCGACGGGGTACATTGTGCACTTTCACCTCTGCACTAATTTCGGTCTACATGTCTCACTCTGATGAAGCTTGAACTACTATAAAGCAGAAGCAAGCTCGTAGCCGCCATGCTAAAACCTGTCAGCTCGAGAAAAGCTTTTCT